TCACTTACCCCTCCGATGGATGACAAGCTATCCCTGACGGCCTTTCGATGTTCGTATCAATAATAATTGCTTCTCCTCCTCTGGAATTGCTCGTCATTTTAATCCAATTGTAACCCTCGTCTACCCAGTACACATTCTGAGTAAACCAGTCAATAGTTATAGCCTCCACTCTACCGGAGGTGCCACCTCCGAGTACTGTCAGACTTCCAGTAGGATTTTTAAAATCTTTAGTTAAGTAGATCCAGTGATTCACAGCATCACTTAACGTCACAGTTTTCGTATGGAAGTCGACGGCAAGCGAGTTCCATTTGTACCCTGCAAAACTGTAAGTTGATTGTGAGCGCAAAGGCGGCGTATGGTCGGAGGGTATATGAACCCATTCAATAGAGGTCGAAGTATATTCCGTCTGAACCCATACAAGAATGTTTTCATTCGTTTCTCCAAAAACTGCAAATTATATAATGAGACGTTATCCGTGCTGTATTATATTATAATGCACACTCCAATTCGAGACCACTCTTAATTCTGGGATTTCTCTAATTCTAAATAACAATATTTAATATATTACCACTAAGCTAACCTTCTATAGGGAGACCACACTAAATTTTCAGGTTCCATTGGTGGTTTCCAATTGAAGGGCAATTTGTAATAATATTGAAAATGTGTTACAAGGTTGTAATACATCTACCTAAAGTATAAACATTAATCACATCCACCTTCCATTGTTTATATTCTATTTCAAATATCTCAGCTAAAAAATTTTACTTACCATATGTGAAAAAATAAGTTACAATCAGTGGTGTCAGGTGGAAAGCGTTCATTTGAAATTATGGTACGTCAAATTGTGGTGTATGAAAAACACAGTTTAAGTCCCATAATATTTTTCAACTAAAGAATGAAAGACGGAAATTGAAACTATAAAAACAATTTTCTTTTCTTTCTTTCGTTTGCACTGTTTGTGTGCACTTTATTAAAAGACAGCGTCACGCGTCTAACGAACGTCAGATGATCCTTTGTGGGTTCTATCAACCTTACAATTAACAGCTAAAACCGTATATATGTTTATTCCATTACACTATTTTGATATAATGACGAATCTAAATACAATGATTTAAAACCATAAGTTTTACACCATATTGACTTTTACTACTATTCTACTCAATTATTGTTAATTTTAATCATATCATAATCGTCATCGTCATCATTATTAAGTTTTAAGGTTATTTTTAATCAACCAATAAATGTGAAGATGTACTTACAGAACGTTTCGAGACCTGTCGGGTCTCATTCTACAACTGGCGTTTGAGAATGAAAACTGACAGGTCTCGAAACGTTACCGTATGTAAGTACGTCTTCACCTTTATTGGTTGATTATAAATAACCATACTACAAACAACCAGATGAATTTCTTTCAACGTCATCATTATTATTATTATATTATTATTGTTATTAAAGTTTAGTAAATCATAATGTGCA